CGCCTGCCAGCGTACAGTCCCATCTTTAACCCTATAGAAGAAGCCTTCTCGAAATTCAAGTCACACGTGAAGGCTTATCGGAGCGAACGTCGTACTTTAGCTTTAGTGACACCGCAAGGCATGACGAAAAAGGAGCACAGGCGTTCTTTGCTGCTGGATGCGGCTCGCCACTCCGTGCAACAAACACAGCGCGTGGACTGCGCGGCTTTGATCAGCACAATTTCTCTTTCGTGCCTGCCGCTCTGCGTGAAGATGTCTTGTGAACATCCATCTCCGAGCCCTATGAGACAGTTCTGTTTTAATAAATACACTAACCTGTGCCTATGTTGCATTTCTTGAATAATTAGTAGTAATAACCACTCTTGTTTTCCTGTATATGTATATGTATGTATGTGTACACACACACACACACACACACACACACACACACACACACACACATATATATATATATAATGCCACGTTCCGTTTCCCAAGTTTTTGTTATCGTCCCAAAACACCACACGATTCTCTGCGCAAACCACCGCGTTTGCAGTTTTCGAGAGGGCTCCGGACTGGAGTAGATCATTTCGATAAGATCACGCCCACTGTGCGAACGGTACAGATTGTTCTGGAACCTACGCCACCGCCAGCGATAACGCTAGAACATTCGACGGCAAGAGTATAAATGCCGACGCGCTTCGCCGCTTGTCAGTTGTTGATCAAAAGCCGACGCTGCGTTCGCCGCTATCAGTCCGAGACTGCTATCTGTGCAAGACTGCTGCAGTAATTGGACTTTCCGTTTACCGGGCACAGGTTCACCCAAATAAACGGTTAAATCCCAACACAAAGTCTCCTGTCTTCGGCCACGTCACGTCCCCGTGACAATATAAATATATAACTATATATATATATATATATATATATATATATATATATATATATATATATATATATATATATATATACATATATATATAGTAGGAGTAATAATTCGATGGGCCAGTTAGTCTTCTTGAAGGTATGGGATATGGCACAACGGGAGCGTTGTCAACAAAGATAAATATATTTATTCCCAACAGTTTCGGGAGGGGTCCTCCCTTCATCAGGGGATGAGTTAATAAGGGAGGACCCCTCCCGAAACTGTTGGGAAATAAATATATTAATTCTTGTCGACAATGCTGCCGTTGTGCCATATATATATATATATATATATATATATATATATATATATATGTGTGTGTGTGTGTGTGTGTGTGTGTGTGTGTGTGTGTGTGTGTGTGTGTGTGTGTGTGTGGTGTGTGTGTGTGTGTGTGTGTGTGTGTGTGTGTGTGTAGAGATAAAGAAGAGGACAGAACAAATAATTTAGTGATTGCACTGAATCCGCAACCTTCTAATGTGCGATGAGAGGCAGAGGCATAGTGCTGCGCAAAATAAAGACGTACACAAAAAAGAAAGCTAGGCCCAAGGTCAGTTGCGTGTTATTATCATTTTATTTCCTCTGTGTTCGTTTCATCGCATTCGTCAAGTACGTCACAAAACTAAAAAGCTAAACGAACATTCAGTACTGTTCGTATCATTGGAGACATTTAACTTTGCTTTAATAAAAAATAAGAGCATACAATAATGTAAAATAAAACTTTTGTTGCCACATCAGGATGATCAGTTTACGTTTTATGTTCACTACAGGAAAAAAAACATTGGAATTATCTCTAATTCACAGGGCGTGCGAGTGACGGCTTCCTAATTTCTTGATTATGTAGCTGTCTTTGACCCATCACTGCCCGCGACCATGCTTTTAATCTCTTAGTATGCGTTCCGGCACTCCAAAAACATAGTGTGTCGTTCGCATTACATGACCTGTCGTGGTCATGTAATGTTGTAGTGTGTACCAAAGCCAATTATGAGCTTCAGTGACGGATACTGAATTTCATTGCAATGTAAAATATTCAGTAATATGTTCCTGCGTTTTTTTTTTTTCGTTTTCATTAAATTTATTTCACCTGGGCCAAGCACTCATTATACAGACTTGCGCATAGCAAAGTATAAGCACTCCAAACATGGCTTAAGCGAACCATGGCAGTAATTTTTTTCAAGAATACTATCGGCGAATACAAATAATAATGATTGATTCTACCTTCCGACTATTGTCTTTTATACTGTAGGAACTGCATTTCTTTTGCACTGCAGTTTTTACGCCCCATAATCTGGTTTTTGTGCGTGTATTAAACTGACTGGCACCTGAATTAAATCCATTGGCAATTGGATTAAATCAACACGGTGGCACTTGGATTAAACTCAATGGCACGTGGCCTGAGTAAGTTGGCGCTTAGATTAAACATGTTGGCGCTTGGATTAAATGTTTGCCACATAGAATAAATAGCTCGGCGTTCAGATTATTTCAATGGCATGCAGAGTATTTGGATTAAAGTGAGCGGGAAAACCTGTACTACTACTACTATCAATACTACTTCTACTACTACTACTACAGAGGGTACACTAAGTAAGCTTTCCTTTCAGTAATTTCCCAGCTTTATGGTGAATTAAGATCATTTGATTGCCGTGATAGCCCTGCCATATGGCCACTCGATGATCGATTGAACACTTAGTGAACGTGTGAATGCCCAAGAACTTCACGATCTGATACTGAAAAAAGGGAAGGCCGACCAAACGAGTGAATATAAATTCTCAGCAGAATTGAATTCGTTTGTTGTAGTTAAATTTTCTGTAGTCAGTTCATCAGATATGGACAATATATATAGCGCCACTGCAGAGGAGCTCCAATAATTACCGTCTTCAGTGAAATGAGCAAGTTCCCCAAGAACACATAGATTTACATACGCCGCTCTTGCTAAGTTATGTCAGAAAGGAAAATTGCATCTCTTGGGCATCAACAGCAAATGTCGGCAATAAGAAAATGTGCCAAAAAGTTGGAAAATATGAAAAATAGTATCATTGCTAAAGCCAGGCAGAAGCCGTATGAAGTTGGGCTTGTTCAGGTCCGGTGATATTTGACAAGTTCTGCTTCGAATGTCATGGAAAGGATTTTTAGTGAACGAACTTTCCGGTAGGAAGACACGAAAAAACAACTACGAGAAAGTATGGCTAGAATGAGAAGAGGTATAGATGCAGAATGAACAGCATTTTGGACTTGTTCCCAGTTGTTGAAGACCAGCGTACGCGAGGAAACATCGCTGCCGCTATATCCCTTGGTGTTCAAGGAGCATCATCATCATCATCATCATCATCAGCCTGACTACGTCCACTGCAGGACAAAGGCCTCTCCCATGTTCCGCCAGTTAACCCGGTCCTGTGCTTGCTGCTGCCAATATATACCCGCAAACTTCTTAATCTCATCTGCCCACCTAACCTTCTGTCTCCCCCTAACCCGCTTCCCTTCTCTGGGAATCCAGTCAGTTACCCTTAATGACCAGCGGTTATCCTGTCTACGCGCTACATGCCCTGCCCATGTCCATTTCTTCATCTTGATTTCAGCTATGATATCCTTAACCCCCGTTTGTTCCCTAATCCACTCTGCTCTCTTCTTGTCTCTTAAGGTAACACCTACCATTTTTCTTTCCATTGCTCGCTGCGTCGTCCTCAATTTAAGCTGAACCCTCTTTGTAAGTCTCCAGGTTTCTGCTCCGTAGCTAAGTACCGGCAAGATACAGCTGTTATATACCTTCCTCTTGAGGTATAGTGGCAATCTACCTGTCATAATTTGAGAGTGCTTGCCGAATGTGCTCCACCCCATTCTTATTCTTCTAGTTACTTCAATCTCGTGGTTCGGCTCTGCGGTTATTACCTGCCCTAAGTAGACATAGTCTTTTACAACTTCAAGTGCACTATTACCTATCTCGAAGCGCTGCTCCTTGCCGAGGTTGTTGTACATTACTTTCGTTTTCTGCAGATTAATTTTAAGACCCACCTTTCTGCTCTCCTTGTCTAACTCCGTAATCATGAGTTGCAATTCGTCCCCCGAGTTACTCAGCAATGCAATGTCATCGGCGAAGCGCAGGTTACTAAGGTATTCTCCATTAACTCTTATCCCTAACTGCTCCCATTCTAGGTTTCTGAAAACCTCCTGTAAGCACGCGGTAAATAGCATTGGGGAAATTGTGTCCCCCTGCCTTACACCCTTCTTGATTGGTATTCTGTTGCTTTCTTTATGAAGCACTATGGTAGCAGTTGATCCCCTGTAGATTTCTTCCAGAATGTTTATATATACTTCATCTACGCCCTGATTCCGCAGTGTTTGCATGACGGCTGATATTTCTACTGAATCAAACGCCTTCTCGTAATCTATGAAGGCTATGTATAGTGGTTGGTTATACCATGGTCCTTCAATATTTTTCTGGTCATGAAACTCCCGCGTCACTCAATGGGAGAGCTTCATATACCGCCCGCACTTTCCGCGCCGCGGCGCTGGCGTAGCTAGACGGGGGACGAGGAAGCCGGCCCGGCCGGCTGCTCTGTTGGCCGCCATTAGCGGACTGTTGGCGCGGAGTTGTGGTGGTCGTGCTGATCGCCCCCCTTTTTAGCTTTTCGCGGTCGCATCGTGTTGACAGCGATGCCCAACACCTGCTGCGTGCCGGGCTGTCATTCTGGATACAAGGGCACCGTCGAAAAAGTTTCCCTGTTCTGTTTACCAGCCAACGCAGAACAACGCGTCAGGTGGAAACGTGCGATCCCGCGACAGGAGACTGCCCGGATTTTCGTTCGAATCAAAGTACGCTCGCGTGTGTGAAAAACATTTCGACGCCAGTGACATTGTACGTGCGGACGTGTGCACTGTGAACGGAGACATCGTTTCGCTGCCCCGAGAACGACCGAGACTGGTGGAAGACGCCGTACCAAGGATTTTTGAAGGTTTGCCTTCCTACCTCTCGAAACCAAAGCAGCGTTCGCGTGCAACGAAGGGCCCACCTCTAAAAGGCCGCGAGAGCTTTCTCCGGATTGTGATGCGACAGTCGCGAATGCAGACGTCTCCAGTGCAGCCGACAAAGAAATCGAAGGGTAAGTCTGGCACAAAGTTTGCAAGTATCCTACCCGCTCACCACGCTAACAAAATTCGCTCACTACGCTAACCAAATTGGTTCCTTCCCTTATAAATATTGCCCTTTCTCACTCTTTGCAGATGTTGTGAGAACTGAGAATCGCAATGGCTACGCTGATGCAGAGTGTCAACAGAGGTCACCGTTTGTTCAGCGTCGGAGCTACAGAGAGTGAAGGCCCAACTTCGCAGCGTGAAGCAACAGCTTCAGTCATGTCAGCGGAAACTCACAAAAGCGGAGGCGCACGCGAATAGAAAGAATGGAGTGTATGCAGATATTCACAAGCTTTCAGACCGCGAGAAGCTCATTATAGACCAGTGCATCATGAAAGCAAATATGAAGTCTGCGAAAGCAGCACGGTAAGATCCGGTTTGTAAAGTTTGTGTGTGTGTGCAATTTTATGTGAAGTGCGATGTTCGGTGCGCATTCGTTTGCTTTCTGGATATTGACAGAAACTACTAAGTGAAGCCGTGGGACAAAACGCAATATTTTGTTTTACTTTGATGGTGCTGTTTGCTTGAGCTGTAGCAGAATCGTGACCACAAAAATTGCATTTTATTTATTGCAGGTATAAAAAGGAATGGCTTTACGATTGTTTACTGCTGAAAATCAAATCCACAGCAGTTTATACATTTCTTCACGAGAATAATTTTCTGCCTCTACCACACCCTCGCACACTCTACTCCTATCTGAAAAATCTGAAGGCCGGCTTCGGATTTGATGAAAATTTATTGACATCCTCAAAGACAAAGTGGAAAAGATTCCAAAGAGAGAACGGCGAGGTTTTTATCTTTTTTTTTCTTTTGCATTTGATTTTTCTGGACTCTAGGTAAAGAGCTGAAATATTTTTTTTTCTTTAGGTGTCCTCATGTTTGATGAGATGAGCGTGAGAAAGAGCCTTCACGTCAGGGAATCGGATATGGCACTGCTTGGAAAGGTGGACTTAGCAGAGCACACGAAGCCGACTGACCAAGTGAAAGATGGGGACCACGTGTTGGTGTTCCTTTTCCGACCATTCCTTGGTGGCTGGTCGCAGACTGTCGGAGCGTTTTGCACGTCCGGGGCTGCACCAGGATCCACTGTTGCCAAACTGATCCTGCAGTGCATTGTACTCCTATCGAATGCCGGCGTCATTGTGGAGGCAGTCACTTGCGATAACTCAACTTCGAACCGATCAGCACTGAACTCCTTGGGTAAATATTTGCAGTCATTATTTATTTTCAAGGTATTTAGTAAGTGATTTTAATAATAGAAATGCCTTTCTTTTAGGTGTCAGTGGTGATGTCACAAGAGTATCAACATCGTTTGAGCATCCATGTGACTCCTCCAAAGTCATTCAGGCTATAATTGACCCGCCGCACATCTTCAAGTGCATCAGGAATAACCTTTGAAGGCCGGAAAGTTCCTGGTGCGTAAAACAGTTTAAGATAAGTCATCACAGTGCTCTGGCTAACTTTGTCTCACAGCCTTTTTATAAATGTAACAGTTGCCTGGTGACAAAGAAGTACAGCATTCCCACTTTGAAGCTCTGCTGGACTACGAGGAGCAGCAAGCTGGACTTCGGGCTGTGCCAAAGCTTACGAAAGCTCACATCAGCCCCAACGCTTTCCAAAAACTGAGTGTGAGACTTGCTGTCCAGGTAAGACATAACAGCTGCTCTAGCATGAGTCATTAATCAGTATGTGTAACAAAAAGTGGTGTTGCTTCATCAGAATACAACACTCTGCCATATAACTTCTCTAAAACATTTCAGCTCTTCAGTGAAAGCACTGCTTCAGCAATGGACTTCTATCGCAGTAGAGAAGAATGTGTGAAACTTCGTGGCTCCAAAGCAACTTCGGATTTTGCGAGGCGAATGAATAGTCTATTCGACTGCTTCAATTCTAAAAGGCCACAAGATGTGCAGTACAATGAAGCGGAACACATTTCTGTAAGCCCTAATATTTCAAACCTACTGTCACATCCTTTGAAGTTCCACTTAAATCAGATTGTTTTTCAGACGCTGAAGGAGAACATCGAATGGCTTGACAGGTGGCACACTTACAACCAGAGTTTACCAAAGCAAAAGCAACTCTTCTTTCTCAGCAAGCCAACATGCAATGCTTTGAGAATGACTTTGCACAGCACAGTGACGCTTGTTGAAAAGCTGCTGAATTGTGGCTTTCGCTATGTTTTAGTTGGCAACTTTGGACAAGACCACCTCGAGGTACATTTAAACGTTTTTGCTCGTTGAAGACGTTTTCTTCACACTTTTATATTTTTCAGAGATTTTTGGCATCGCAAGACATGTCGCTGGAGCAGGGGGACAGCCAACTGTTCAGCAATTTTTGTTCATTTACCGGTTGCTCTCGGTGAACAACTTGATCCGTCCTCCACAGAGAGCCTCGGTTGAAGGGGATGGTCCGCGTCTCCTCTTGAAAATGCAGGATCTCTTTCAACATAAAGAGCCTACTGTTAATCAGGTAAACATTTGAATAGCACCCACCAATGCTGCTTGTAGGGTGTTTGTGCATCGTAAACGTGCTGAATGTCGTCTAGCTTTTTGATGCTAATGACATGCACGTCTGGTCGTATGATATAGAACAGACTTTTATTCTGCTTAAGTAAAGTGTGGGATTGGGCTAGTTGGTAATCCATATAAAACTTCTAGGCGCGTAAAACTTCAGACAACTAACATAAGAGACGAGGACGAGCGCAGACTTTCAACTGATTTATTACTACTACGACACACATATATATATTAGAAAGAAGATAAGATCACTTGCTTAAGCAAAAAAAAAAAAAAAAAAAATTTTTTTTTTTTTTTTTTTTTTTTTTGCTTAAGCGCCTAGAAGTTTTATTCTGCATTTTTATATTTTACTTTACAAATTTCTCACTCTGGCCATTGTGATAACGCAAAATATGTTTCAGATTGATACCTTGGCAGTTCTTTTTGACGATATACTGCTGGAGCCTGCTGAATGCATGCAAGACATGATTCATCCCGAAGTCAACGAGGGACTGTATTTTGGATTACCTTGGTGGGTATGTAGCAAAAAAGTTTGCTAAAATAAGCTGCAAGGACTGCCTCCAAACACTCAGAAGCAACTCCCGAGAGCCAACTGCATTGACTCAAATCAAGACAAGAGGATTTTTGCAAGTGCCATCGGAGAATTACTGCGGCTCTTGCAAATTGTGGAAGAACATGTGGAAATGTGCACGGTGGACAAAATAGCCTGTGCCAGTGTTTACATGAACATTGTTGAGAACATCCTGCTGGACGACCGCACTTCTTCGGCCAGTGTTGGCTGTGGCTCACATTTCGTGAGCACTACGGCAGAAGTTGTGCACTTTTTTATTAAGTGCCGTCTGCATTTTTTTACGCGTGAGCAGAACAAACTGTTTCGTGCTGGCGGACGTCGTTTATCCTGCCCGGCCAAAGGAGGGAGGAAACCAGGGACATAAATTTTTTCAATGATTTTTGTTGTGTCATCCACTCCGTCTCCCAACTTTCATCCACAGTTTTGAAACGCAGATTTGAATAAACTATGTGCCTGTGCTCATGGCAGTTTCGAATTCTCGACGATTGCCGCGTAGCGTAGTTGCCAAATTCAAAATGTTACCCCCTGCTAGGTAAGTGGCACACAGATTTGCTTTCGTTAGGCAGAAATATCTCGCACATAAAAAGCTCAAGTTGGATTGAAAGAGATATCTAAGTGCATAAAGAAAATCTCTAGAAATATTCAAAAAGAGCAATGCAGTTTCATGTACAACTGATTCGTTTAAACTGAATAACTGGGTTGAAGGAAGATCCTGGTTGATTTCTATGTGCGCGTAGAAGGAACAGGGTGGCTAATTAGAACGCGGACTTAGAAGTCGTGGTCATTGGGAGAGTACATGGGAATGGATAAAAAAAAGCCGCGTATATCAAAACTCGGCTGCGTTATCAAATCTGCATGCGTAAAAACAAAAGCTCTCGCTTCGAAATAGCACGTAGTGCCTATATCTAGCAGCTCACAACAGTTTCATCTCATTTTTTAATCTTTAAAATCAGGGGCGCTAATTATGACATCAAAGAAAAAAAAGAAAAGAGCACAACTTGAGCATCCCTCTCTGTCTTGTGGTGTCTCATTCTGAGCTTTTAATTTTTCAGCTATGTTTCACTAACGATATCCCTCAAGAGGTACTTCAAGGCTATTAATGTCAAGTCACCCTGATACACAGATTTGTTTATTGGCACGCGAACTTCTATTGGCTGCTTCGTGATGCCATATGGAATAAAGTGATAGTTATTCCGAAAATGAACGTTACGTGCAGCCAGAGCACGGCTGCTCCGCAATCTCTAGCGCAAAATATGTTAACCTTTCAGTCATCTAGAACCAGTCACAGTGTTCGGTTTAAGCCCCAAAAGCGGCTATGCAGGAATCGAGAAATTTAGGAACGCTACGAATGCGCGTCACTTGACAGACGAACTCAGTTAAAACATTGCCAGCAGTCAAAGACTTAGGCAATTTGACAACGCGCATCATGGACCACTTTGACAATACTAATAGCTGCTATGATTTGTTAGCGATAACACGGAGAAGGAAAATATCTGAAGAAGTGTATTTGATGGGAAACGCTTCCGCGAACGCGCTACAGCCCTGCCAAGCGCGGCCGATCGATGCCCTCCTGTTTACGGTGGCGCCTCTGGTGGCCACTTGTGTCCCTATATGAAACTTTCGCGGGAGTTTCATGACCAGAAAAAAGTATTGAAGGACCATGGTTATACTCTGAGCATTTCTCTATTACCTGATTGATAGTATGAATGTGGTCAATTGTTGAGTAGCCTGTTCGAAATCCTGCTTGTTCCTTTGGTTGATTGAATTCTAATGTTTTCTTTACTCTGTTAGCAATTACCTTTGTAAATAGCTTGTATACTACAGAGAGCAAGCTGATCGGCCTGTAATTCTTCAAGTCCTTGTCATCTCCTTTCTTATGTATTAAGATGATGTTAGCGTTCTTCCAAGACTCTGGTACTCTTCCCGTCAGGAGACACCTCGTAAACAGGGTGGTTAGTTTTTCTAACACAATCTGTCCTCCATCTTTCAGCAAATCTGATGTTACCTGATCCTCACCAGCAGCTTTGCCCCTTTGCATGCCCTCCAAAGCTTTTCTGACTTCTTCTATCATTACTGGTGGGGTGTAATCTGGGTTACTGCTCAAGGAGCATACGACACAATAAACCACGTTCATGGTCTGTAAGGCCTAGCGTTGCAGCGATTTCAGGAGATTCTGCGTTAGATCGCTGACTTCCTGAAGCATCGGCAAACTTTTGTGGTTTGATAGGAGCGTCCAACTTCTCAACATATCGCCCACCAAGGAGTGGTACAGAGAAGGTGGCTAAGCCCAATGCTCTTTATTGCCGTCATGGTACAGATCCCATATAATCTTACACCTTACGTTACCTAATCAGAATCTGCTGTTCAGATATGTATATGGACATCAGGCCCGCCATGTTAGCATTTTCAAGAAACTTTACAAGAAGGAATGAACTATGTAGACCGATTTCTTACAAATATAGGTATGGCTGTGAGTACGACAAAAACATTCATACTACCATTTACATTTACCAAAACCTAGACATTTCTAGATCATTGTACAAAACCAGCCTCTTCAAATGGCAAAAACGCCTCAATTGTTCGGGGTAATTTTAGACCGGAGACATGTTAGTCTCATGTTCGGTCCCTTGAACGAAAACTGAATCAAGCTATTCAGATCTTCCATCATTTCTGCGGCGCTTAATGGGGCAGTACAACAGAGCCGCTATTGGTCCCTAAATTTTGTGCGGATACGCCCCATGGTGAGGCACTCGCTGCTTCAGCTGCACAGACTTCCAGCCTCCACCAAAACAAGATTTAACTTGCTATTGGCAAACAGCGTGCCGGTACGTCTAAGGTGGCCGTGGTTGACTTCTAGCGATTTGGTGTTGCGGAGGCTCGTCAACCACATTTGGCAGTGCACCGAGGAAAATTGAAACGTCCCGAAATATATTTCGTATTTTCATGCAACATGACAGTCACTTTCTTATCTGGTGAACTAACCCACAAGATGGCCACGCAACAAGTGGATAGTGAGCCATCGTTACAAGCAATATTACTTGGGTATAAACGCTGAACAACATTCAAATCACCTTGGACGCTGCCGGTTCTGCATGTCCAAGGAAGCCGACATGGCGCCTCTGGTGCCGGTACAGAAGGTGCTTCATAATTTTCATACAATGCCCAATGTAGAGACAAATATATACAGAGATGTCTTCTGCGCTTAAGAAGCGTCAGCCTGTGTGGTATTTATACCGGAAGTTGAAGAAAAGAAAATGTGTAAATTATCTCAGAAATCTTCGTCAACGACATCACAATTGGTGACACTTTCCGGAGCCGTCAAGTTAATCAGCGGCAATTCTGGCAGACGACGGTCGGTTGTATGCACGAATAGTAAACGCGCCCTTCATATGATCAAACATGTGAGATCACCATACAGAAACGGTGAAATAGCCCGATGTATTTCAGAAACCGTGGAATATGCCTCCGCGCATGGTCACAACATCGTATTCCAATGAATACCCACCACCCTGGAATAAAGGGTAATGACGAGGCAGACAGACTCGACAAGAAAACCTTGAACGAATAACAGAATTGCGCAATCCCTGTGTCTGAAGAAGATGTTCTAAATTTTATCACGCTGCGAGCGAACAACTGTTCACGGAGAAGTGGTTTGACAGCCCTAAATCGTAGCAATCATTACATTAGGAGGCACATCCACACAGAAAATTTTTAATAGCGACAAATCTCCCACTACAATTAGAGGCGTTTGTCCACAGACTTCCACAAGAAGTGGTCTATACCAACAGCTTCCTGCCCAAAATACATCGGTCCAGCTCACCGGAATGCTAGTGTAGTCAGGATTATTAGAATGTTGGTCATATATATTTTGGGGGAGAGGAGTCGTATAATACGCAAATTAAAAAGGAAAAATAAAGAAGAACCAAGCAAGTTTAGGCAGACAGCTACTCATATTTAAAAAAATTGTATGAATCATGGTCTGAAATGCATCTTCAAAAAAAAGGCGAACATCTTCCTGAAAGACTGCTTATTGAACACCGGACTAGATAAGCGCTTGTGATATACAGCTAGCTGTTCGTATATATGGAATTATGTGTTAGTACGTATGCAATGGGTAGAAATGGAAATGTTTGCGGGATAACGTTCTATTGTTTGTGAACCACTGCAAGCAAACTGTATGCTGCCGT